GGAAAAGATCTAAAAAGGCCATTATCAAGTCCAAATTGTAGCAACAACAAAGAAGCCTGAATCTGTCTTCCAGCCCGAGCACTGTTCGGTATTTTGGTTATATCTGGAGTTCTAGAAGTCCAAATGAGCTGAATGTTTTACACAAGAAAGCTGAGACAATTGCCTACAACTTTCATGTTTGCAACGGGCTCCAGTTTGGACGTTATCAATGATGTTTTGGGCAGACAAGAGAAGATAAGGATTGTCACCAAGTCAAAAGGTGGCCACCCGCTTATCAATTAGTCATCAAATCAATAGTTCCCAATTTTGGCCTATAAAAGGAGGCATTTGCCATGCCTTTCGGCATCTTGGTTTCCAGATCAAGATCATGCTCTTCCTTTCTCTCTTTGTATTTTTTGTAATGTTTATGCTTTGCTTTCATTAATATTAAGTTTATGCCTTTCATTTCCTTTCCTTTACTTAGTTAACTTTTATGTTCTTATTTTGTTTATCTATTTTGCTTTCTTTCATTATGTCTAGCTAAGTTAGTTATGTCAAGGTGAAAAGGTTACACTAATGGTGTAAGAATAAGTATAATGTAAACTTAATATGAACTTTAATGTTTGATACTAACATGTTTTATATTTGTTATCTTGTTCACTCTTTAATACTTTGCTTGTTAAATGACTAATCTTGATTTATGTTGTATAACACTTGGTACAACAAATGCTTGACACTTTCATAGCCCATAATGTATGGTATAACCGACACCTAGCTATGAAAGGAACTTGATTTGTTGTTAACATAAGTTATAATCATGAATGTTTGACGAGATTTACAAGTATTAGCATTAATTGAATAAGATGACTAATGTAATCATGTTAACAATATATAATCTGATTGGAACCTCCTTTGTGTGTGGTTTCTAATTCAATAATAAGAGTTTATACTATACTTTTTTGATATACCATTAGTGGAACCTCTAACCTTGACATTTGTTATTATTATTGTTTAATCCTTACATTAATTTTCCATCTTCAAGTTCTCATCATCTTCTTCTTCTTCTCTTTCTTTATTATTATTATTATTACTACTACTACTATTATTATTACTACTACTATTATTATTATTATTATTATTATTGTTGTTGTTGTTGTTGTTGTTGTTATTGTTGTTGTATTATTGTTATTTATAATTTGTACAAATAACCTCCATGTGGTTCGACCCCGGTCTTGTCGGGTTATTTATTACTTCGACACTCCTGCACTTGGGAGAAGACATCAATCTTTTCGTCGTGTCAGTAACCAATTGAGCTTTGTTTCGAATAAATTCTCTGGATTCATTAAGTTTGTTATGAAATATCTATTTTGTTTCAATAATAGAATGACCTTTGGGCTTAAGGACTAAGTCAGATACTTGATTTCTTTCAAATTGATCAAGCTACTCTTGTATCAAGAATATCCAACACTCATCACTCAAGGCTTCATCACTAATTTTATGTTCAAGTTTGGAGATAAAAGCAACATTATCAATTTGATTTGTCATAAAGGTTATTGTTCTTACTCTCCTCATTGGATCACTAATTATAGCATCTTATGAGAGACCCCTTGGTTATTGGATTACTTTGGGAAGGCTTTGAGAAGGCTCTCATTGCTTATATTGATGAATTTGTTCAATTGTCACAATTGAATTTTTTTTTATCATTATTAGCCATATTGTCTTGTTGATCTTTATTTATGTTTAACCTATCAAAGACAACATCTACACCAACTTCTTCTTTTTTTTTTTTTTTTTAAGATCACAAGAGTTAGATTTATCAAATACAACAAGCATATATTATTCAACTATTGAAATTTTATAACTATATATTTTATATGCTTTGCTAATTGAAAAGTAACCAAGAAAGATGCCTTCATCATATTTGGAATCTAATTTTTCTAAATTATCTTTGGTATTTAAAATGAAACATTTTGGACCAATCATCAAAAAATGACATGTTAGGTTTTATTTTAAACCAAGGTTTATATGGAGTTTTATGCAAGATTGGTTAAAGCAAAATTCAGTTTGAAGCATAATAGAAAGTGTTTATGGCTTCCATCTAAAAATATTGAGGCAGAACATACTCATTAAATATAATTATTTCTATTTCTTGAAGAATGCAATTTTTTCCTTCTATAATGCCATTTTGTTGTGGAGTTCTAAGAGATGATAAAGAGTTGAAGCTTTACACTTAAAACTATTTTCATCACAAAAAATTTCAAATAAAAGGTTTTCAAGTTCTCCACCATAATCACTTCTAATTTTTAAATCAAGTAGCCATTTTCATTTTGAACTATTTTATAAAAATTTTGAAAGGCTTTAAGTGCTTCATCTTAATATGCATGAAATAGAACCCAAACTTAATATAATCATCTACTATGACAAATACATATTTTTTACTATCAAGACTTGAAACATGCATAAGACTGAATAGGTTTATATGAAGGAGTTGTAGTGCTTGATTTGTGGAGACTTGATTATTGGCTTTGAATGAGCTTTTGACTTGCTTTTCATATTGGCAAACATCGCAAATCACTTTTTTTTATACTCAAGTTTTGAAAGTCCTCTCACAAGCTCCTTTTTTTTTTTTGACAAACTTTAAATTACTTCCATGTTGTCATGACCAAGTCTTTTATTAAAAGTACAAGGTGAGTCCTCTAAAGCATTAAAACACTAAGCATCATAATCAATATAATTTAAGTTGATCATATAAGTGTTTCCAAATCTTTTTCCAATAAAGATTATTTAATTATCAATGATGCGAATGATCAAGCAATGTAAAGATCCAAAGATAATGCTATTGCCTCTATCATATAATGGACTAATACTAAACAAGTTATTCTTTAACCTATCAGTAGGTACAAAATGCTCAATAATAGAGAAATTTTCAATATTACTAATATCTTTTACCTTTCTCGTGGTATCATCTCCTATTGTCACATGTCTCTCATCCTTCTCTTTGAATGAATTGAAGTTGGATTTGTCTTCTGCCACTTGTCATGAATATTCACTATCCAAATACTTTTTGTCATTCTTTTCCTATAAAGAAAAATCTTAACATATTAATTTTGGTATTCATAATTTCTTAGGTCTATTTTCATTAGTAAATTGCATATTGGCACCCAAATATATTTAGTTTTACTTGAGAAATTCTTGTCCATGCAATATTTTTCATAAAAATCAATTTTGCTTGATGCTTTAACAAAGTAGTTTGAGTAAAGTTTTTTATTTTTTTATGGTTTATAACTCATATCTCTTTTGTTGAAAACACATCTTTGATTATCTAGAAGTCTATCTAAGTTCTCTTTTCCTTTTGTAAACTTATTCATAGAATTTAAATCAATAACTTGGGTTTTCAAAGTCTCATTTTCTTTGACTAATTTTTCATTGGAAATGGATGAATTAGATATATTTTTTTATAGAATCTAATTGCCTTCTAAAACCAATGTTTATTGTTAATAAATCATCATTTTCTTTTTGTACAACATCAAAGTCTTTTGAAATCATATCAACTTTAATTTGAAGTAAAACATTTTTCTTATGCATTTTTTTTATATTCATAAAACAATTATCAAATGTATCTTACAATTTATCAAAAGTAATTTGAGTTTTAAATTCATTTACCTTGTCTATATCGATGTTCTTATTTGTCATCATGCATATCTTTTCTCTAGTGATGTCAATGTTAGTCATTAAACATAAATTGGCTAGTGTCTTGAATTTTATATCATCAAAGAGGTTACATTATGATCTTTTTCATCCCAAGTTGATGCTTTTATTGCTCTTTTTTAAAAAAAAAAATTGATTTTTTTATATTTGGACAATCATACTTCACATGACCCGGCTTCTTACATTCATAACAAATAATAGTATCCTAATTGTTCATCTCTCCCTTATCACCCTTTTCTCTTCTAAAATCTCTTTGATTTGCACCATACTTCTTAAGTCTCAAATAATTGGTGAAGTATTTTTTGTCACCAAGGTTATATCTCCCTCGTATTCACTATTGTATCTTTTTCTATCCTCATCCTTATTTAAAGCTTTCATAGCTAGAGATTTATTTTTAATAGTATTATCATCAATCACAAGCTACTTAATTTTTCTTCGGATTCAATAAACTCATTAAAATCAAGAGTTTATGCATGCATTTTCTTTTATGTCAAAGAAGACATAAAATATAACTATTTAAGGCATTTTTAGAAGCTATGTTAATTAATGTTATTAACTTTATCTTTTAAATGTTATTAACTAACATATGTTGTTTTTTGGGTGCATGTGTGCCAATAAAAAAATTACTCAAATTTCAATATAATTAACACCTAGCTTCCAAACTTTCACAAATCTATTTATATTTTGAATTGAACTTTCATATGTACACACACTCGATGAATATTCATTTGAAATTCTTAATTGTAGTCGATGCTTTAAAAAAATAATGAAAGCTTAATGCACCTTAAGATGAATTGATACAATCTAAAATACATTTTTCTTGTTTCATATTTAACAGAAAAATATGCAATATATATCTTAAATAAATTTTATAATATGATATTTTATTTAGTTAAAATAAAAATAATTAATAATAACAATATTGTACAAAATCCCCATTCAAAGGTTTTTTTTGTTGGAATTTTTTTGTTTAATTTCTCTCCTTCCTTTGCCATGCAATGAAGTATTTTCATGGTGCATTTTATACTACATGGCTTTAGCAGATTGTTCATGACTCGTTGGGTTTCATTATAAGTAAAATGTCTAAATTCTTATACAAGACCAAAACCTGATCATAGATGCTCATGGCTAACCTACCCTTCATGCAATGAAGCGACAAAACTAAAATCTTACCTCGGAGTAGTATTCGACTCAGCAGGTGATTTTTATTTAATAATGGTTTTTTTTCTAGTTATGAGCATCTAGAAAGGCCCAATTTGAGGCGAGGAGCTTGTCTTGCGTGTAAGTTTTGAGATTAAATTTGGGGGGTGAAGTGAGATAAATTGATTTTTTTTTAATTGCCAATAACCATGTAATGATGAGGTAGAAACTGGAATGGCACATACATTTCAGGCTTGCAGCATACACAGCACACAGCTTGAGGTCGCTAATTTTTTTACATCACCACTTCAAGGAAAAGGCTTCCGACTACATCTACTCATTTAGCCAGCCTGCTGAGTGGTGTGGGTAAGGATGCTGAGGACCAGGAGCAAAGCCCATCGAATCAAACCGGTATCCAGCTCCCGGTGCTCTAGGATCATAACTGCCATTTCTATTCTGCATGGATGGCTCGGGACCCAAACTACTCATCCTTGTATGGTTTAATTCATCTAGCCGGGGAGCATATCGCTGCATCGCTGACATATTCATCATATAGGGTGGTTCTGCTGCCGATCCCATATGCCCGTAAGGGATAGCTGGTGCTGGTTCCATATGGCCATATCCCAGATATCGCCCACTTGGATAATTCCACCGAGCAGGATCGGCACCTTGTAGCCCATAAAGGTGAACTTGTGGCTGTCTAACAAATTCTGTGACATTCGCCATGCATCGTGTTGATTGCTCCTCCATATTGCCACCACTGGACAATCCATGGATGTTGAGTGAATAAGACTCGTGAATATTAGTGCTGTGCCTTCTATTCATGTCATCATGATTGCTGGCCCAGCTTCCGCCATAAGGTGTTCCACGCTGCTGCGAATATGAATCAGAAAACCTAGGGTCCAAATGCTGGTAACAATTTGTGCCTATATCAGCCTGTGATTGCTTTTCAACAGATCTAGATGAACCGTCAAGTGAGGATCTGCCATCAATATTGGGTGGTGGTGAAGGACGATGCACTCCCTTGTCTGAATCACTCGGAGAAGGCTTCTTTCCACCATTCTGTCTGCCCTCTAGTGATTTCTCACCCGTTCCTCTTTCAACCATTTTTTCACCTTGCCTTTTCTTCCTTGAAGTCTCATCAGAATGGCTCTTCCTAGGGCAATGACTATCTTGGCTTTCTCTATCACTGTTGTTGCATTGAGACCTTCCTTTATGACCGTCATTAACTATTCCACAATTGGATTCTTCTGGCTCTTTACTTTGCAAGGGAATATAATTTGGAAGCATCGACGCACCAGCATTGTTATATTGATCATTAACAGGATCAGGGGTTTTTGTTTCAAAGTGGTTTTTGTCCAAATTTGATATTTCTTGTTGCCTGAACGGATGACCATGCTTTTGAGCTATTGCCTTGTGTTTTGCACTCCACTCATGCCGGCTCCAAAGATAAAGAGGTGGCGCAGTCACATTCCACTGATCCATTTGCTTGTCATTCTCATTAACAGACCCAGGCAGATAGAATGACTGTAAAAAATAAAAAAAAGGTCATAATGAAATAGAAAATCCAAATTGATCCAGAAAGGAACTGCAAAATGCATATCATATACCTTCCCTGACAAAAAGTGATCATTCTCCCAGACTAAATCGTAAGGTTTCTTTTTGTCTAACCTGATCAAAGACAATAAAAATAATGTGTGTGAGAGAGAGAGAGATAGAAACAATTAAATCAAACCATTACCTCTCTGTTTCTGGTGGAACAATAAGAATAAGGAGTTTGGGTTTAAACTGAAGAGCCTTGTCAATGAACTTGTTAGCCAAGGCTGCTTTAACTCCAAAAGGAGGATTCAGTCCCATAATCTGCTTAAGGAAAAAATAGATCGATCAGACCATTCATTTAAAAAGCTCAGTAACCCAGGTTACTAATTCTTTACTCAAAAGGGAACAATCATTCCTACCAACTGCGAACCCTTTTTTGGCAGCTCATCTGGACAAACAGTCATCCAATCTCTCTTCTCAAAATTAAAGTCATTCTGCCAGACATAAGATATCAAACAATCAAAATTTGGAAAAGCACTTGGATGCAAACATGCATAGTTCAGCATCAATGCTTGACAGCAAAATACAATTAACAGTTTGACGTAGACAAAAAAGAAGCAAAATGCATATCTTTGTAGACAAAGGTATTTCTGTAATTTACATATTATATCTTTGTAGACAAAGGTATTTCTGTAATTTACATATTTTCTGGAAAATCTGGAAAAATTGCCGAAGCCTGGTTTTTATTTTCTATTTAGCAATCTATTAGTTCCAAAGTAATTATTTTTGTTAGATTTTTGCTATTCTAAATAGACTTATAATTTTCTTATATTGGAAAATAAGTCCTTGTTAGACTTGGAGTACTAGCAACTTTATATAAAGGTTTGCAATGCCTCATTTTCATAAATCAGTTTGCGAAGAAAATTTCAGTAACTTTGTTTTTGATTATGTGACTCAATCTTCCCTTAGGTATGACTCCTAAGAACCTTGGAAGTGATTCCTAGAAACCCTATTAGTGACTCTTGAGAGTTTCTACAATTTCCAACAACTCAAATCCTATATTCCAAACATCCACACGTTCAAGCCCCATCAATCCTATAGCTACTAGTCATCAAAAGGTTAACTCAAACTGTAAAATTACTATTGACATCCCTAAACAGGCCCCATGAAACTCAACTCCAGAACAGCACCAGGAGTTGTCTGCATCATAGTCCATTTAGCAAACTTAACCACAACAACTCCATTGAGTGACCAGATCACAATTTTTAGGCAGAAAAAAGGGACCAAAGACAAGTTCTTTTTATCAGCAATTTATCCCCATAGATTATTGGAACAAGCATTAAGAATTTCCCCTCTTCCACAACATAAAATCACCGCACTAGGATTGTATAAGATAAAATGTTTATGTTAATATTTCTAGCACAAGCATGCTTGTGCCTCTACATAAGGAAGACATCAACCGTACACAAGAGGCTATGCTGGAGTTTTATAGAAAATTAGAATGTTCCAAGCTACCTCATGTACCAAAGAAGGTAATTTGATCAAAGAAAATGTTTTGGGCTTTGGTTTGTAACTCATCCAATTTTCTCACTTCCCTCGGAATTCTTTCTCCTCACTGGAATCATCCTTAAGTATGATCTAATGGGTCTTACACTGAGTTTCTATTTTTATTTATCCAGTTCATATCCATGATTACTAGTTTCAAAGTTGAGATCCTCACCTGGGTTAAAGGAAAATTCACTAGATTACAAGTATTGATGACATCACCAGGAACTCTCAGTTCATCATTTTGCTGATGTGAAAGTGATTTCTTGTTAAGAGATTTTGTTAGTTTGTGATTGATTTCCCTTCATGGTTCTTGTTCTTTTTTTCTTTATCTTTTTTCCTTTTTTCGAAGACTGCTTGCCATCATTTACATCAATATTCACCGCCCGTTGAGGACAAAACCTGGTTCTTTATTTCTTGCTTTCCTTGAACCTTGAAACCACCATCAAACCTCACTATGTTGTGTGTTCAGCAACCTACAAACTGCCACCAAACTTTGGCCTAACAAACCCCACAAGTTTTTTCTTCAGATTTGTTTTTAATTTTTTTTTATTATTTTATTTTATTTGTTGGGGAGGCCAGAGACCTATGAATCTGCCTTAATATATTTTAAATTTTCTCAATGATTAAAATGTCAAAAAAATCATAACCTCGAACCTACCTCTATTATCTGGTGCATGCTTCTGTTACAAAACATTATTAGACATAACACAAATTTAGTTATATACCCCCAAGCCACTTCTAAGGCCAACCCATATATGTATAACAAAAGAATTTAAAAAATAATACTAACAAAAGCCAAGCCAATACACAGATGATCAAATATATGTACGGCTTGTTATCCTGCCCACTATTCAGGTAGGTAAAGCTTGAATTTTTTTTACTATAGGGGAATCATTGAGAAATTAAAAATATATGGGTAAATTTATAGCCACCCCCCACCCTTTTTCTTAATAACTCAAGACCCCTATATAAGTAAAAAACCATATTCAAGCAGCATTTTCAGTGTTATTTATAAAAGACTACATAAAACAGTGCCAAAATTATGCCGCAGTCAACTAGGGACTGCCTTTTGTGTGTTCATATCCTGCTTCCTATTTCCTATATACCTACTACTCCCCACATGTATGAATTGCATTGACTAATTTATCAGATTAAGGCAAAATAATTTCTTATAAAAAGGTAACAGTTACCTTTGGCTGAATAACATCGTAGTTTTTGTATGAGCACTTCTTTCCCATCTCTTCAAGCTTCTTTTTCATAATGCAACTGAAATCATTAGCACCACAGCAGAAATCGACAATCTGTCCAAGGGAGCTAACAATTATCAGCTAGTTGCCAAAATAAGCTTAAGCATCATCTTTCAAAAATGACATGAAAAGTTACAGTTATTCCACTGGAAGTGGCGTTTTTTATGTAAGCATAATTCAAAACAGAATGCATATGCAGGTCATCAAATTATGTTACCAGAACTAAAATATAGAAACAATGAAAAAAGGATTATTAAAAATAATTCAACTGATTTTCTTTGGTCCCAAAAGAGGATAGATAAAGGAAGATGCTTTGAATAACTATAATAGAAGCTTTCCTCATTTTAAGCGTTCAAGTTTTGTGTCAAGCTTGTGCTCAACAAAGAGAAACAAAAGCTTGCCCAGAGCCATGATGAAATTAGGAAAGAGCGAAACAACATTTTTCAACAGGATGGAGATTGAACAAATCACTATACAATCTTTGGATCAAATTAATAAGACAGGGGATTAAAACAGCTCTAGAAGATAGCTGATATTGAGGATCCTTCTTTATGAAAAGTTCAGGATGGAAGAAGAATATAAACCAATCATCAGCTACAAATACATCTCTTCTAAGAATCTGCTAAAACAAAACCAACAGGAAAATCTATTTACCAACATCTATTTATCAGCCAAAACAAGATCCTTAAGACATTAGGAATACACATTTGATAGTAATGTCTAGTTGAAATTTTGAAAATTTGCAGCTCAAATTTTAAATTTCAGGAAGGCATGCAAATACATATAAAATTGCAAATATAGGCCTATATAAATTTTACAATCAATGTCAATTTGAAGCATATGCATGCCAACAAAACAAAATATTCCAAGCAACACATAGTTAATGTCTTACCATATCGCCATTTTCAACATACCAACGGAGAATATCAGCAATCTGCACATTCAGAATCTGGTTTCAGAATTCTTTACATGTGACAGAAGCATGAAAAACAAAGCAGTATTCACTCCATTTTCCAAACAAATTGAAATTATGAATTGCATAGAGCAGTATATATTTAATGCATCTCTTTGCATGCATGTATGTGCATACAATTATACCCATGCTGCAGATCGCTGTCCTTAATTAAAGGGAATATTTATCTTTTTCCTTTTGCTTTTCCTTTTCTTTTTCAGTCACTAATTATGATTCTGTCTACAAAGAATTCCCTTTTCATTTACTGACATTCTAGAATTAAAAACAAATAGGCAATACTGGAAAAATAAGATTGACTTAGCAAGTATGAAGGCTAGTTCAAATAATCAAGAAAATATCTATTTATCATTCTATGCTCACTTCTCCACCACCATTTTCCCAGTGTATGCAACTCTAATATCATGGACCCATAAGCTGAGCTCATCTACAGACTTGGAAGGTAGCTTAAGTTGGAAAATGGAAAGGAAATAAATCAATAGGGTTAAGAAATTAAGAAGAGGTGAACTTAGAGTGAAAGAGCAAAGGCAACAAAACTTGGGCCAACTCTGGTTTTGCCAAAATCGAACATATTGTTCAGTGGCACTTGATCATTCTACAGACTCCATATCTTTATCTAAAAATTATCATCCAACTAGTTAAAAATACTAGATTTCCCAGTTAAAATAAAAAATTATAATCTTCCCCATGTTGATATCACCTTTGTCATTCTTGTTGTCTTTGGCACTCTTGCTTTCTTTCACCATGTTCTCTCTCTGTGGGTATAATTTATAACTAGTTTCAGGTAGGAATAATTATCAAAGAAGATTGCTTTAAGTTGTTCTCATCCATGACCTCTAGACTTAACATTCCTATCCTTATCATCTCCTTTAAATTTATGAATTTTACTTCAGTTTTCCATTTGAGTTGACTTGTAAAATTCAACGAATTGTACCAAATCAAATCATGACTAAATCGCAAGATTCTTATACATATGTGATTCACCCCAACATTTGCATCATTTTGTACATGAATCAAGATGAATTGTAAGATTCTAACCACCATGATATTAACCATAATCATACTCCTTAAGTCTTTGGACTTTCACCATGCAACTTCTTGTTGCATGGCATCATGAGAGTAGCCAGGTTAATATCAAGGGCAGCGATGCAGACAGTTATACCCAACACAATGTGGCCACCACTCCAGGTTCAAGTAAACTTGTAAGGAGACTTGTGTAAGGAAGGATTCATTACCCAACTCAACCATGAAACGATCACAATCTGTTTGGCTTTTCATTCTCATTTCTTTCATATTGTCTGAAGGTGGTACATTACCTCAAGATACATAGTGGAAAGCTTTTTTGACACATCTTTTAAGCAACTTCACATCATTGATGTTGAGCTAGAATTTTATTTTTATTACACACCCGCATACTACAGACTCTAAAACAAATTGATATTTATAAGATATTGCATTTGAAATCACTAGCACATGGTGTAGAAAACTAAAAAATAACAATCAAAGATGGTGCATATCATCACAATTATCGTTAGAAGGCTTATGGCATTAGATAATTAAAAAATAAAAACAAAAAATAAACAAATTTACCTCCATAAGTTTCTCTACTTTGGTAAAATGGCGACCAAAGGATGTATAGCGCATACCGTACAGAAATGGTGCAAGATACACTTTCAGCTTGTTCTAGAGGCATCAATCAACAGGTTAATAAACATCAAGTACAGCACTGTTAAAACACATTCAAAAGTTAAAATCTCTAATATTCCAAGCATTTAGTTCAGGAAAAAAGTAGCACACATCACTAGGGATCTTCATTGATAGAAAACAATCATTTCTCAAAATGAAGCATCACTAAAATGACAAATCAGTGCAAAATTCACTCTTAAAATCATATAAATTGCAATGCAGAACCTGGGGGAAATAACGCTCACTATATACAATGATACAACAGTTGAAAGCAGGATGAGAAAGAACAGCTACCTTCCATTTAAACACCTGGTTCAGAACATCCGGTTCACAAACAGCTTTAGCATCTTCAATGCTGCATTTTTCTTCCAGCTTTTTTAGAGCTGTCCTAACAGCCTGGATGGAGTATATGAAGTATAATTACTTATGGAGAAGAAAACAGGTTGACAAGATTACTAGCAACTTCTATGGAAAAAAGACCTAATATAGAAAAATTATTAATTGATAATTAGAGGGTGACAACAGGTACCTCAACAGTACCCTCCACCTTTCCCAATGTAATGTTTTTGTCCACGACATTTTTTGAGGAGTGCACGTGTGTAGATGGAACTTCATGCTTTTTTATAACATTATCCAAGGTTATTGATGACGCAGCCTCTTTCACTAAAGCTAAAAGCCTGCATAGAATTCAAGTCATGCTTTTTTATAACATTATCTAAGGTTATTGATGACGCAGCCTCTTTCACTAAAGCTAAAAGCCTGCATAGAATTCAAGTCATGCTTTTTTATAACATTATCTAAGGTTATTGATGACGCAGCCTCTTTCACTAAAGCTAAAAGCCTGCATAGAATTCAAGTCATGCTTTTTTATAACATTATCTAAGGTTATTGATGACGCAGCCTCTTTCACTAAAGCTAAAAGCCTGCATAGAATTCAAGTCTGAGGCGTAGTTTAACATAAAAACTGTAACTTTGAATCGTCATAATTCCCTTGTAATTTAATAATGAAAACAAGAGTAGAAACAAGAGACAGTGTAACTATTTCAAACAAAAATATGAAAGATGCAACTATTCCAAAGTGGAAAATTTAAAAGGTCACCTCCTTTGTGTATCAGCATCCAATGAAGGCAGTTCACTGGTTAACTTCTTTGCAACAGACTTAACAGACAAAGATTTATCAAGTTCACTGCCAAAAATATCCTGCTTCCTGAGCTTTGCTTTTCCGGACTTGTTAGTCATGAAGGCATATAGCTTGTCACCCAATGAGGTCTTGTTTACGTTGGCTGTTGTAGACCTCTCCACCTCTGATGAAGCAGACTTTGTATTTTCCCTTAAAGACTTTCTGGATGGATTATTCATTCTCATTTTCCCCAGTGAATTTGATTCAGATGATATCTGTTCACTGTCATTGGTAATTTTAACGATTTTTGCAGAAGAAGACATCACTTTGGATGCTCTAGTACAAAATGTTCCTGAAAATGATTCTTCTGAGGTAAGCCTCTTTTTCTTTGACAAACTTTCCTCTTCATTTGCAGGAAGCTCAGATGTCTTTCTTTTCTGTACTTTAGCGGCAGTATTCTTTTCTCCAACATCAGGGAACCGTATGTGATCTCTTACTGGAGTTCCAATGTCTTCAATTATGTCATGTTTCCTTGTTCAAAACAAAAGGAAAAAGAGAAGGCAAACACCCCATTTGACAAATTATTCCCATCAAAGTATAGGACTTGTGTGTGTTCAGAAAGAAGAAGAGAGAGAGAGAGAGCAACTAAACAACAACACTTACAAGCAATAAATCAGTATACGGTTAGGTAATAGATTCTGCCAGGCCCTTGCTATAGTATCTTCATCTGCTTCATTTTCAAAAACTATCTCTCTGGTAACAGCAATATGAATATCACATCAGACACATATTTACACTGCTATATGAGAATGAAAAGTGATATAGAAAACCAGAAACTACTTTGGCAGGCATTTCTGGTGGTATGATGTTGGACACCGCCTGCACACAGCGAACTGCAAATCACATTTCTTCTTATCCTCTACTTGTTTACAAATGCAGCACTTATGAATGGGACATGCAAAACTCTCCCCAGCAGCAATCTTTTTCCGAAGTTCCTCAGCAGCAACTTTGTCCTCTCGATGGAGCATTGTTGCAGCACAATGCGGGTGATAAAAATGGCCACAGGTTGCATTAGCACATCGAAAGACCTGACAAGTAATTGATTGAGCAAGTTTGCAGCATAAAATGTAGATATATATCATTATTAAAGAGAAACCTGGAAGACTGTATTTCAAGATCTCAAGAAAATGGTACTAGCATCCCAAGATATTGACAGAAGCCATAACCAAAAATCCATTTTAACACCCTAGAATATATGAAGGCATGCAACAGTTTGGATTTTTTTAATTAAAAAAAAAACACTTAAGAACTGGGAAGGAAGAATCATCTTGTAGGAAAGATGCCAATAAATCAGATTAGCTGCCAGACAAAACAAAGAGCTAGGATGTGAAGTGAAAAGTCTCAAATTTGGAAGGCATTGCTACTCACATTATAAAGGAATGAATCAAAGATCCCTTCCAGGAAATCAAATTTTAGGTGATATTTTATCCTTTGAAGAGTATATGCTCCTTACCTCTTTTTTTTCTTTTTTCTTTTTTTCTTTTTTCAAGGTGCATGTTGCTAATAAAATTTAAAGAAAATCTGATAATCATAAGAAAATAATTCTAAGGTGTGGAAAAAAAAAAATAAAGGAAATATTTGGATGAGAGGTGGGCAAACAAAAATAGAGTTCGAGAAAGAATATTAACAGGAAACATATGCACTTGCAATTACAATTAGATGCTCATGGGAGATCCAAGGAAAAAAGAGCATGATTTTAAAAGCACAGCGACACTTGTTCAAAGTCACTCTAAATTGACTAAAAATAGGAAACAGCAATCTGGAAATGAATATTTACATAAGCAAAAAGACAGAAAAAAAGGAAAAGAAGAACCCAATTGATATAATTAGAAAAACTAGTGGTGTGAGAATAAACAGAAGCAACAGATGGTAAGTCCAAAAATTTAGCATAACCAGCTGGAGAGCGAAGATCAAGTTGAATGAAACTGAGTGCCATGATCTTCAAGCATGGTTTGTTTAATAATATAGCTCAAACTTAAACAGAGTTCAAAAGGAAGAAAAGTTTCAGGGTTTCAAATGAGCTTGAGCTCATCATAAACACAAGAGATCAGATAGACGTGAACAATTTCAATACACATTAACAATGCTTTTCTTTTTCTCAGTAATGTATACTTGTATTGATTTAGATGTCACAAAACCAAGTTACTGATTAATGTCTACTTTACAGTTACTATTTATACAAATCCAATCATATCTACAAGCCAATTTTTCAAAAGAAAAGTACAGCAGTATGAACACATCTAGCCAAGTATTGGACTGATCAAGTTTTTTCATGAAAGTTGTGAAGCTTTAAATTTCTGACAAGGTCACCTTGTTTGGCTAAAAGAAGAGCTCAAATGAGTAATTGAACTTGAATGAAGCAGGAGTAGCTGGGTTCATTTTATAACCTAGCCAGTAGAGGATGACACCAAGAGAGAGAGAGAGAGAGAGAGAGAGAGAGAGAGAGAGAGAGAGAGAGAGAGCTACAGTGATTCCTTGCTAAGCCAACCAGCCAAGAGAGCTAGCTAAGAAGAGCAATTGCAATCTTGGCCCCCTCTCCCAGCAACCCAAAAAAGGGGCTGCTATTTGAAAAGATATTGGAAAAAACAAGATTTATCATCAAGCTTCCGCCTCTATGAAAACATGCAAAATGGCATAATATATAAGAAAGAAAAGGTACAAAGATAAATGCAAGAGTCAGGGCTATGGAACGTGAACCATCAAGGGTGAAGTATCCAAAAAACATTTATGTCATGATGTTAATTGAATTCACCTCTAAAATGGAAAGAGGGAAAAAGCTCCAAACATCCATATCATCAAACACAAAAATAAAATAGGCCAAGAAACCCTAGTGGTTAAAATAATTTTAGAAGACAATATTTTTGTCAATGCAGGACTGGCTTCTGTAAATCACAGCACACTACAATGGAAAATAATATGATGAACATATGACAAGGGAAAACTATCCATTCTCTTACAGCAAATCCATACCTCAGCACCAGAAAATTTATCAGATGAACCTAACTTTCCACAGGCAAAACATTGATGCTGCTTAAATTTGCAGTTCTTACAAAAAAAACTCTGCATTGCCTGCCCAAAGAGAAAAGACATCAATGCTGAAAGATTAAAAAAAAAAATCACTAGACTAAAAAACAATAAGAAAACTGAATTACAAAGAAAACAAGTAATGGCTGCATACTTCAACTTCCCTATTAGTAAAGCCAAGAGACTCGCAAGCAGATTCTTCACCAGCCTCTACAGTTGCATGAAACGACCTCAAGCAACTCCCTTCACAACTGTATAGTATTAGAAATCAAATGTGCAACTGATATCAGAGATCAGAGACAATGCTAACACAAAACAGCACCAAGTAGAACTAACAAGCATAGATATTCAAATTAATTCATCCAAGTATTAATTCTATGCCAAAAAAATAGAGTGCAGCACATTAACATCTTTAAGGGAAGATGAAGATTCATCTAAAATAAATATGGTAACTTCACATTAATAACAAAATGTAATCAAGCTTCCTTGTAAATGTTAACAATTGTATCTGGTATGTTGTAAGCCTTTTATACAGTAAAATGGAGTGAACTACACAATAAAACAAAGAGTGGAAAGGATTGTAATAACACATTATTCTAATCCTTAGGTGATGAGACTAAAACATTGAAGCAGAGGAATTATTACTATGATTAAAAAGAAGGCCATGGATACAAAAAAGGTAATTTAATGCCACTAACATGTTTATTCACTCCAAACCTGTTATTCCAACCACTGCCTGAGAATTGTCAACGTTTAAATTTTTGTATATTGTTTGTATTCATTAATGATAAATTGTGGTTGAGGCATAGCCAGGTAGATACACCTCTTGCTTGCAAATTCGGTTCTAAATTCAAATCCCCTTTGGTAAAGCAGTTAACCAAAAGATACTTGTGTTAAAAACTGAAAGGAAATCATCATTTTTAAAATCATATCACAAGGACAAGTACAAGAACTGCAATTGAAGTATTTTGATAATATTTAGTATATCAATCTTGTAACCTAAATTGTTGTTATACTTCCAAAAAACTCGCCCTTGAGTTATCTGTTGAGAATTGAACTCTTCCACTTCCAGGAAACAAATATTTCGAATATAGCATTGTAGCCAATATATTCACAAAGTATCATGTTTTTGACTCTTGAACTCCAAATTTTAATTTATGATGTGTGTAAGCTAAAGAAAAATTCCTATTTAAGATTATACTTTTTGTTCCTATAAAGTCCACTTGTAGTTCCATCCACATTCTTTTACTTCATACTTGATCTCATCCTTATCTATGACTTCCAATACTTCAACCTTTGTCTCTAAAGAAACTTCAAGATAATCTTTCATAATATATTTAGAGGAATTGTAGGAAGTGCTATGTCCTTGTTTGCCATATCTTCAAAATCACTATTTAGGAGCTTTATTGATTCCTTCTTCACCATTTGTACAGTAAACATCGACAAGTATAGTAGTATCTGCAATGGTGGTGTTGTCGTTACTGTTGTTATGTTTAAACTATCTACTTTGAATAGACAACCCATCCTCCATAATTTTCTTATTTGCTATTTTACAAGGTTGAACAAAAGGCAAATAATAACAATATTTGCCTATGATTGTCTACCCAAAATATAAAATCTCTTCATAATCTTGTATAAACTCCAAATTAATGATTGTCTTAACTCTTGCCAAAATGGAATAAAGGCATACCAATACAAGTTTTAAAGTCTAGAAATTCAAACCACCATTTTCTAGCAATATAAAAAAGTTTGTATGCGACATGTCTTGCCTTTAGATGATAAGGAACTTTGTTGAAATAAAAGTAAACTTCCACCTTTGTCAACCAGTTAATAAGTTTTTTCTTTGAAAATTTCCCATCATAGAATGGAATCTCATCAAATTCAAGAATAGGTCTAGGGTTTGGCCTGCCTCGAGGTAAGTCTCAAGGCAAGTTTCTCTCCTATTCACGATCCTTGTTTGCATTACCCATTAGTCGAGTTGGATTTTCTATGGCTTGCTATAGACGATTTTCTATGGCAAGTTCCTCTCCTGTTCCTGGGTTTGCTCCAAACAATCCAATTTCTGCTCCAATGCCCGCACATTGACCTAGAGGGCCTCCAGTCCTACATGAGGAGTGGGTTGCTACTGTTTGCTTCCATCAAAGAGGCAGGCTGTTTTGATACGAATTGACATGGCTTATAGCGTGGATAAAAGCTTGGGTTCTCAGGCCTAAGGGTTAGCGTCACTCTAGAGAAATAGAGAAAATCTCTGCTATTTTATTACAGGTTTGAATAGTTTGAATTTGAATGTTTTCAAAATATACTAAACATCCCAATTTATGTTAGTTCTAGATCTAAATACTTTATAGTAAGGATTCCTAATTAAAACCTACCTAACTAATAGAATTCATTTAGCATTAGGATTCCTAACTAGTAAAATTCTAATTAAATTGAAAATCATAATCTAAATAGAAAAAAAAAATCTAAATACAACAAGGTAAATAAAGACAATCTCGTATAGCAACTTTCAAGTCTTAGTTGAAAACCTTCACGATCTCCGTTCATCATGAAATTTTACCCCGCCTTCATAATTTTTTGTCAATTTCAAATAGATCCAACAGTCGAATTAAAATTTATACTTAGATTTACTAAATTGCATCTTGGACTCTTCTTAAACTATTTGAAACCTAAAAACCTTAATCATTAATGAAATAATACAATAAACATTATCATGCCAAGAATATTGATGAAATTTCCCCACAACATTGGCAATGCATGAGCAAGTATTACTATCAGGTTAATTTAATTTTAGCCCCTTGAGATTTTAGTATGGCTAAGCTTTAGTTCTTGTACTTCTAAAACCAACAAAGTAATTATTGAGAGGCATTTTTTAGTAAGGCATATAAATGAAGAAGAAATTGCAAGACCATAAACCATCATGACTGCTCTGTTAGCTTTAAAAGCAAAGACTTAATCTAGCCTTATTAAAATTTCAAAAATAAAAGCAAATTATCATGGGTATCGAGAATTGCTATAACAATGATCATTATGATAACAAGGTCAATAATGAAATGTATTTTAACAATGAAAAACTCATTAAAAGAAATGCCAAAAAGTACCATATATCATGCATGAGAAACACTCATGCAAGCAACATTGAGGGAGAAAAAGAAAGAAATAGTTGCTAACAGAATCATCAACCTAATTCAAGAGAGCAACCAAGAAAAAACACATACCATAAAAGGTTGCCGCCATTATCACAAAATGCACAAACAGAATCAAATAGTTCGTCCTCGTCATTGGATTCATCTTCTTCTAAATCTTCAAAGTTATCATCGACTATGAATGCAGACATTGTTGCAGCTTGAAAATCCTGAAAAATAATGAACTACTTGCTCAAAACTTCACGATAATTTACCGAGATCACAATAGAAAGAAAGATCATTGATAAACACTTTGCAAGAACAAAGCAAACAGGTATGCAGAGAATAACCTCATCAGACAGCATCTTTTTCCTTGGCTTCTCCCCAAGAAAATTGAGTAAGAACTGTTCATTTAGTGCACACATACAGAAAGTTTAGAATACCTCAGGAAAGCAAATGAGGCGGAATAGGTTAAAATAAATCATGAAGAAAAAGTGGTTTCCCTCATTCAACCAAAAAACAATGTCATTAAGTCTTAAAATCTTCTTCAGATTCTCTTAAATTGCTCACCATAAGCAGAAAGAAAATCAAAAAGTTAATTGTCAAATATTATAGAATACAAGAACAGAAGAAAGACAAAGTATGAGCATTAAACAAAGAAATTATGGCAAATTTGGTGTAGATGAAGGCCAACAACTGTTTTTACATCCTCCAAAAGCAAGTTCCTGCTAATTGATAATGACATAAAGGAAACAGTATGTAAAGGAAAGAACAAGAGAAGAGACAGGGTAATGAAAGACAACCAATAATCATGCTGTAAATTTCTTATGGAACAGGCTTTGGAGAAGAGAAACAAAAACTTAATAATTTTCCGTTCACATAAAGGAGAGTTCAGAAAATGTTAAGAGATGAAAGATCCACCATGACAGCAACAGTGTAATTAAGAGGAAATAAATAGTGAAAAATGTTGTTTTTTTGTCTTCTTTCATAATGAGAAGGCAGAACATATAGATGTTGGTTGTTTATCATGTATGCTTTGGCACAAATGTCAATTGTTTGTGGTAATTAAATTTGTGATTGATTGAGTGAGGCCAAGGCATCCACATTGATAAATCCAGCTAATTAATATAGTATCCCTCATTTTCTTGATCGATTTCGCAATAATGAATAAGTTAAATTAATGGGAGTTTATTCCTTTGTTAGTTCAGAAATTACCTCTATATATACATATATATACATACATACACATATATATATGTTCCATAACTTTCAAATCCTAAAATCCTCTCCCTCTCTAAATCTCATTTCTCTTTCACTCTCTCTGAAAATATTGAATAGAAAACTTGATTCCTCTACTGGCACCACTCAACCAGCCCCCTATCACTAACAAATAAAATTATATGGCATAAGTAGAAGGATTGTTTTTTCTAATCTTTTTCTCCCTTCCATTATTTTTAAATTCAGCATATAATTTCTCTATGTGGATTTTAGCACAACCTTATCATCCATTAACGTAGTTATTCTTACATCATTGATCTTTGCTACAAAAGAGAAAGGCTGAACCAAAATAAGAAAAGCAAAGAAGGCCTCTGTGTGAATGTTCAGAACTGGCATCTAGTTCCTAATTGAAGAGCTGCACTTTCTGCTAATATTCACCTGAGTTTGCCAATCAAGGTTACAGCCCAAAAATAAAACTCTGTTACCAAGCAAGCATCAATTAATTAATAACAGAAATAGATTATTTCTTAGGGTTCAAACTCCAGCTTTTAACTAACAATGGATCGGGAAATTCCTTTTAATTATAACTTCATCATGAGCAGAATGTTTTTAGTTTAAAATGCAACCTACAAAAGCATTATTCTTAGCCATGCAATAACCGCCAAGGTTCAAAAACAAGAGGAAAAATTAATCTTCTGATGTAGACATGGTTTCTTGGAGATCCACAAAAGTACATTTCATAAGACAATGGCAGACTAATGCTGGGCAGATGAAAATAATTCTAGTACATACACCAAAACAAATAAACAAACAAACAAACAAATAGAAATATATATTATTATTCACAATTCAGATGATCCTTAAGCATATCATCAATTACTTCAAGTTAAATACTAAAAAAGTGCAATAACCTACATTTCTTAGTCTGAGACTTGATAAAGAAGTCAAATTTACAAGCACATCAAATAAACACATGCCCATAAGCAGTTTGTCGTGAAAGCATGACATGCATATAATTTAGGGTCAAGTCAGCTTTTGTTTTGTGTCACAGAATGAAATCACTCATCATTTAACTGAGTAGTGAAAATTTTGCACTTAAATTAGTCGCAGAAAGCTGCCTAGTATATTTCCTTCTTTCTCCTCATCACTCCTTATATTAAGGTGTGTTCCAATGATGAAATACTTTACATAAAGGAAATGAGCTTGAAATAATCCAAATACAGATGAGACTTTCAAGTCCTGGATACTTTTGTCCAAATACAGTAAATAACAATCAAGGCAATCCAATTAGGGACCAAAACAGATAATTAAACACAGAACAATGGTTGGAGCTATTTCTTCTATTGAATTTACTTTTATATCCTGTTCTAAAGTCATTTACAATACAGATTGTTTTCAGAGTGTGATTTTCAATGTCAGATATTTAAAACAGAGAACAAACTCCAAGCTAACAGTTGTCCATCCATCTTAAAACGGGGCTAATCAGGATAAGAAAAGAAGAAAGTTCTGACCAAATGAAGGAATTATATTGGAGATCAGAAGAAGTTGATATGGCAAGTTTACTTTTCTTCCATACTCTGCCATCTCTCTCACACTCTTCTCCTGGGACAAGATACACCAGCTAACCTCTCCCATGCATGAAAATCAATAATGGTAGTTTTGAAGGATAAAAAATTATTTAATGCAATAATCCATGTTGTTTTGTTGTTGGGCAGCCAGAATTTAAAGCTGAATGTCAGACACGGATTTCATACCCATACTAGTATCTGGTTGTATTTGCACATCTACCTTGGGTCTGCCAAGTCTGAGAAACACAAACTCAGACCTTTTAAAGCGAGCTACTCTCCAAAAAAACAAATCACAGGTCATCATCCAGAAAATACGATTGAATATAATTCATTAAGGAATTGTGCATCCATACCTAAGAGAATGATATGAAGGATGTGGTGGTGAATATGGTTTGCTGGTAAGGGGGGGTGATTACAAGAGAATCACTCTCCTTGTTTAAGGCATGTAAGGGGAGCAGGAAATTCTCACCCAAAAGCAGGGGTAATTATTACACTAAGGGAGGGGGTTAAAATTTAAAACCTCACACCACCCCCAAAGTTCAAAATTGTTCTCTCTTTTTTTTTTTTTTTGGTGCCTCTCACTTCTCCTTTTTGTCATCCTATCACAATATGATTTTTTTATTATATCTTTTAATCTCTAATAGTATTTTATCACTCTCTTCTACTGCTCTTAATTTCTCCTCTGCTCTTAATTTCTCCTCTTTGTAAACACAACTAAAAATCATTAAAGCATAACTATAACAATGTTAAAGTTACAATTGCAACAATCACTCACTTACTATTTCATCCCACTTTTTTCACCTCCTACCAAACTCGACCTTAAAAGGAAGACAGAGAGAGAAAAGTAGAGCATTTGCTCCTAGGATAGGTGGTAACACAGAGTACCACATGAATGGAAATAAAATTATTTTTTCATTTTATTAGAAAGTTGTTATTCACAGCAGCACTTGTTTAATTACATGTACACATTTACAGAAAAGGTTTCGAGTTGTCAAGTTCATCCTGTCAGCTTTACATATCAAAAAATAGTCCCAAGTTCCACTTACTCTTTATGAGTCAAGACATGCGTAAGCAGAAAATATTTGAACTGTGTATAAACTTTAAAGCACATAGAAGGGCGTATAATAAGAAAGCAAAAGGCTAATTAGTTTACAAAGACCTTGCATTTTGCTAAGGAGTTTTCTCTTCGAACAGCTTCACCGATTAAATCCAAGTGGTCCACCAAATCGTTCAGAGATGGTCTGTGCTCATACAAACTACAAATTTAATGGTGACTATCAAGGCCCGCGACACAAAAACAAGCAGAACAAAAGCTAAAGAAAGACACACGAAGTCTCAATTACCTGAAAGTTCTTGACAGGTAATCCCACACGGATTTCCCGGATGCTTCTGGGTTCCACCTTGCAAAATGAAGGCAATGCACGGTAATCAGTACCGTCCTAATAATTATCTCATAGCTCTTTCTCGGTTTTCCGAGTTCCATCCAGCATTTCTCCTTAGTAAGCACTGATATCTGCGGTGTTGCGTTGGACAAATCAAACTTCCACGCTATGACTTGCTTGTATATGGTGCGGAGCCCATTGTCCACACTCCCTTTCAAGAAAATCATGTGGTTTTTCTTCCCATCGTCAAAATTATTGCTTTCCCTCCATCTAATTGGTAACAAAGAGAATGAAATAGGCTCATCTTTATCATCTGCAAAATAATAGGTTGACACAGACTCCGGCAGAGTATCCGCCTCGTCTTCCGATGAAGCCATGCCCTACAACCAACAATCACATAAATTCATTTCTTGTACGCCCAAAGACATGAATTAGGTTTCTATTCTTGAACCCTATTTTACTGCAATTTAATAATAATAGCGGAAAATCAAGTTGAAATTATACAAATTAAAACCTAAACTATCAACACTGGCATAGTTGAAATCGAATAGAGACTTTGATAGCCGAAGACAACCGGGGACAGCAAGAAAGCCTCGCAAGTTTCTTGCCGGGTGGAGAATAACCCTATTTTAATGATAAACAGGAGAGATTTGAAGAAAATCGAGAGTTTATACAAAAGAAAAAATATATATTACTTTAAATTAAATTTTTATATTTTATTTTAATATATTAAGTTAAAATAATTTTAAAAATTTAAATTTTATATTATTTTAATACATTTAAGAAAAACAATCATTGTCACACTATAACTTATAATTTTATTCATATATTTACCGATCATTTTATTATTGATATATTTATGTGAATATAAATTAGTTTGGCCACCCATTTTGTTATTGGTATGTTGATTTATATATTTTTCAATACTTTAATTAAGTTGTCCAATTATTAATTCTCAATTTTTTTTCTCCTTGTTTTGTTTTGTACTAATATTAATTGTCATTAATTTTTTTATAAAAATATAAATATAAATTATGATAATTTTATTTAAAAATCAAAATAAATAATAAAATTTAATTTTTAATCAATTCAAATTAAATAAATAAATAAAAAAATCTAATTAAAATAAAAAAAATGTATCTAAACCTAAAAAATTTCTAAACACGTGGATGCACCTCCCTTTTTCTTTTTTGAATTAGATAGGTGACTAATTATTTATCCATTTATTTTTTAAAAGAGAACATAAATAATGCATCACTTGGTATGACAAACAACATATTATTTACAACTCAAAAATCTAATCATCTCTGTGTTAGTTAAAAAATAGAAAAATGTAATTTTTGAAACTAAAAATTTATTTTTCAACCATTTATTACCTAGAAACACCAAAAAACACTTAGGAACCTAAATGAACTTATCTATAACTTCTAATAACATAAAAACATGTTAAAAATCAACTTGAATTGGAAAAACTTTTTAAGTCCATATCTATTATCTCAAGTAAGTTGAAGGTTAAAGAACACCTTAATATAACTTCTCTCGTCAAATAGATTTTGAGACTAAAAGCAACACTTTCCATGGTTGAAATAGATGTTAACCGATAATTCTATCTCTTCAACTAGAATCTCATGATTTTCTCTCTTCTCTTTCAAATTAAGGACTTAAAAATAAAAAAAATAAAGTTTTTAAATATATTTGAGTTTTAAAAAACTAAAGGAATCGATAATGCATCAGTTAGAAAGTATAAAGACCAAAAGACCAATTAAATTTTTGAAATTATTCTTCACTCTAGTTCCCATCTTTAAATACTATCATTTCTCAACAAATTAGGAGTAATTGGCCATCAATTTAGCCATAGAATTATCCATTTGAGAAGAAGAAAGCATTTAAGAATCAAAATTAAAAAAAAATTATTTCTTCAATCTATAGTAATTCATGAGAGAATATACAATTAAATATTCATAGAAAAAACACCACACATTTTAGGTTTCTTATAATATATTGAAATATAAGAGAGAAAATCGTTAAAAAATTAAAGGGAGAGCAAGTTTTCATTAGACACATTTCATCTAAATATATATATATCAATCTTTGTGTCAATGAGATAGTTTTAGATGTGATTTTGCCTTTTCACCATGCCGGAAAATGTGTATTAGGGGTTAGGAAGGTTTTTTAAATGATATTTGATTTTGAGTTTTCATAATAATTTAAAGGTGTTTAGAGGTTGGAAATAGAATTATTAATATTTTTATAATGTTTTATTGGGTGTATTTTAGTTGAAATGGTTAGAAGTTTGAGTTTTTGAGATTTAACTTACCCATACTTTTATTTTCTAACCACAAGGGCAGTCAAATTTTTTTGTAATGGCTAAAATTTATTCATAATCAAGTCCACTTGATTATTGTCCTTGTTTAATTTCTTATAAATAGTTTTAGATGTATGTGACATATTAGATTTTTAATATGTTGACCCAAATATAAATCACAATTCTATATAAAATAAGATTAAATAATTTAACTTATTATTAATTTAATAATTTGATTAATTTATATTTTAAAGTGTAAATTCTAGTAATGTGTATTGATCCTTGAAATATTAAGAAATTTATATATGGCTTGACTTAATCTTATAATGAAAACCTTGATCAATGTAATTATTATTCATTTATCAATAATATTCTAATTTAGACATTTGAGCATGGAATGTATTTGTTATATCAAATCATATTTATTGTTAATACTATAATTATTGATTCTTTAAATAAGATTTAACCAAATCCATAATCACAAGTTATCGCTCTATATAGAATCCTTATATAGGTCAGTTGAGTATATATGTTATTTAAAAAGAACCTAAATATTAGTTTTACATATCTCTCATATCTTAACTTAGAAGAATAACTTATATATATATATATATATATATAAAGAGAAATAACATAATATATAATGGTTTAAATAATTTTAATTAATATCTAGTCTTTATAAAGCTTTGGCTATGAACAATACTTCGACGTAATAAGAATCATCATAATTATAACTATTTTATAATTTTCTCCATAAAATAGTTTTGTTTTAAGAACTTTATTTTTACTACAGGCTCATTAATCAAACATAAATAAATATTATTGTTGTTGTTGTTGTTATTATTGTTGTTGTATTATTGTTATTTATAATTTATACAATTAACCTCCATATGGTTCGACCCTGGTCTTGCCTGGTTATTTATTACTTCGACACTCCTGCACTTGGGAGAAGACATCAATCTTTTAGTCGTGTCATATTTTTTGCGTCATTGCTGGGGAGGTAAGTTCTTGTATAAATTATAGAATTTATTTTATTTTTTCTTTTCACTTTTCTTATATATAACGTTGTTTCTTTTCTTTTCTTTTTCTTTTTTCTTTTCTTTTCTTTATCTTTTTCTTTTTATTCTATTCCTACACGTGCATAAGAGTGTGATTACGTACATTAAGTGGTAGACTTTGTAGGGTATCCTCATCATTTTTAAAAAATATAGCTAAAGAAGATAATCAATCACTTCATAATGAGAATAATGAGAATAATTGTGCTAGAACACTTAGAGACCACATGAATCCCATAAAGAACAAGTACAACATCATGTATAGTGTTTCCTCCTAATGCATCTCATTTTAATTTTAACCCAGACATTATTCAACTTTTACCTTCTTTTCATGGTTTAGATTTGGAAAATCCATACTTGCATTTAAAGGAATTTGAGGAGGTCTCCAACACCTTTAATAACTTAAATTATAGCATGAACACTATCAGATTAAAGCTTTTTTCTTTTTCATTAAAAGATAAAGTTAAAACATGGCTATAAAATTTAAGACCTGGATCCATTCATGTTTGGTATGAAATGCAATAATAGTTTTTAAAAAAGTTTTTCCCATCTAACAGAACAAACTTTTTCAAAAGAAAATCACCACTTTCACTAAAAAACCAGGAGAAACATTTTACCAATGCTGGGATAGGTATCGAGACTTGCTTAATACTTACCATCATCATGGTTTTGAAACATGGAGGTTGGTTTCACATTTTTATGAAGGGTTAACACCTAAAGATAGGCAAATAGTTGAATTGATGTGTAATGGAATTTTTCAAGATAAAGACCCTGATGAAGCAATGCAGTACTTAGACTTGTTAGCTAAAAATGCTCAAAATTAGGACACCACAGGTACTTATGAGGTACCGAGTAAAACTCATCGTCATACATCTAGTGGAGGTATATATAACTTTAGAGAAGATCATGAACTCCAAGTTAAGTTTGCATCTTTAGCTAGAAAAATCAAGGCACTAGAATTGAAAAAGAGTAGTCAAATAAAATTTGTTGAAAACATTGTGTGTCAAATATGTGAAATAAATAAACACTCAACTAATAACTATCCAGCCTTGCCTTCTTTGAAGGAATGTCTCCATGAACAAGCCCATGCTTTAAATAATTTCTAAAGACCCAATCAGAACCCATACTCGTAAACATATAACCTTGGTTGAAGAAATGACCCAAATTTCAGTTGGAAGAGTGATAATAACAATGGACAAACTTCATAATCATCATTTCAAGCACATTATATTTTCCAAAATTCTCATGGATATGCACCTCCTTATACTCCAGCTTCTATAAGAAATTTTAAGGAAACTTTGTATGTATTTATTGAAAAGCAAAAGACAATCAACACTCAACTTACTCAAAGCATAATAGATTTTAAAGATACTCTTACAAAATTCACATATATTCTTAGTTTTCAAAAGAAAGGTAAGTTTTCATCTCAATCTCAGTTTTCAAAAGAATGGTAAGTTTCCATCTCCACCACACCAAAATCTCAAGGGGCAATACAATACAAATGCAAGTAGTTCTAGAAGTCAACACATAGATCAAGTCAAATCAGTCATCACTCTTCGCAGTGGTAAAGTTATTGAAAAACCCACTCTTGAACCTTATAAGAAAGATGATAAGTCAATCTCTAAGGATAAGGAAGAGGTTGAATATGAATATTGTAAGGAAAAAACTGATTCCTCATCAGTACTTTCATTTCCTTATGCCATGACCGAACAAAAAAAAGTTAATCATGATTATGAAATCTTTAAAACTTTCAAACAAGAAGAAATCAAAGATGAAAAAGGCACCGGAAATGTTATCGCGGATCATTTATCAAAATTGGCAATAAATTCAACATCCAACATCACACCAATTGATAATTACTTTCTTGTTGAATCTTTGCTTTCTCTTAGTTCAATGCCTTGATTTGCTAAAAATATCAATTATTTTACTTTAGGATTTTTGCTAGCTCATTTGGATAACCATCACAAAAGAAAGTTTTTGAGCAATATGCAAAACTTTTATTGGGATGAACCTTACTTATTCAAATATTGTCCTGACCAAATATTTCAAAGTTGCATTCCTGACAATGAGGTAAGTAATATCATTAAAGCTTGTCACTCTAAGGCATATGAGGATCATTTCTCGTCAAAAAAGAGAACTGTAGAAATCTTACAAAGTAGATTTTACTGGCCCACATGTTCAAGGACTCGCATGCATTCCGTAAAACCTGTGAAAATTGTCAAAAGGTGGGATTTCTAAGATTAAGTAGATCATGTTCTTTATCAAAATAGGATTATA